ACTGGAAGAGGGATCCTTAATTCCTTCACAGAGGATTTGTCTGAGGATGCTGGATGGTAGACAGCTCCTAGGATAATGTGAGTAAAGACTTCACTGGGACTGATAGTTGGGCAAGCACCTTCTAATCATAGAAAAGCTGCTCTTGGGAAGATTGAAATGAGTCCTTCTACTGTGATTACTGACTGTTTTGGAGTATCCTGTGACCCCAAACCCCTCTCCTGTTAAAGTTCTTCACAATTAACTGTAAAAAGGCATCCCCCAGACTGAGCCTTAATTATCTGTATGCATGGGACTGTACTTGGGTGACTGGCAGGCTCTGTATTATTCGAGAGAATTGTCAATCTTTAGTGGCCCCTCCGGGGGTGAGTGCTGCATTAATACAACTCATAGAGTTGCAGTGCAAATGCTGTGGGAGAGGAGACTGAGATAATGCTTCCTTCCATCTGCAGCTAGCAGACTGATAAGATAATCTCCATTTAGAACAACGCAAGCTCAGGGATGGCTTTTTAATGAGTAAAGGTGCAAAATATATATATATATATATATATATATATATATATATATATATATATATATTTATTAGGAGCTTGCTTCAAATGATAGAGCTTTTAAGGACAAAGACACTTCTTTTTAAGGACTTTCCTTGCCCAATTTTATTAAAAGAAATTTCAACACAGTTCCAGAAATCAAAAATCAATAAGTTTTCCTTGCAGGGGTTTTCTGAATTGCTCTTCCATCCAAAAAAAGAAACAACATCAAGCCTCCTGGCCTTTAGTCTGGTCCCACAGACCATGACAAATTACCACCTAATAAAAGCTTGATATTTATATTCTTAGCAGCACCTTGCTGCTCTGGCTCCCATCTGTACTCCTGGACAGAGACCTCCTCTGTCTGCCAGGATGGAGCCCATAACCATATTCAGGTCTCGTTTAAAAGCCCACCACACACCTGCCCAATCAGTGTGCTGGTCAGTCACAAAACACAGACCCAGGACTGGAGATTTGTCTGAGCTCTAGGTCCCAAACTGGGTTTTACCAACTGATTTCAAAACTGAAAAGCCAGTTTCCTCTGAATGACGCAAGCCCTCTGGAGCTACTCAACCTGCCTAGATGAGAATCCTTGGTCATTAACTCTTTTTACACTGTGACAGTGCACAGCATTGCAACAATGTATGTAGTTCCTTCCCCTCAAGTCAGGGTACTAGGTGTAATCCTAGACTCTGACCTATCCTTTCAGCCCCATGTCCAGTCACTGTCAAAAGCTTGTAGACTTCTCCTCTGTAACATCTCTAAAATGTGCCCCTTTTTAACCAATGAAACCAACAAGCTACTCGTTCACACCCTTGTTATCTCTCGCCTTGACTATTACAACTCTCTTCTCATAGGTCTATCGCTCTGTAGGCTATCCTCTCTCCAGTCTATCATGAATGCTGCTGCCAGGATCATCTACCTTACCAACCACTCATTGTTTGCCACCCCTCTGCCAATCCCTCCACTCGCTTTCGATTGCCCAGCAAATTAATTCAAAATACTAACAACAACATACAAAGCCATGCACAACTCTGATCCAAGTTACATCACCGATCTTTTGTCCAAATATTACCCAAACCATCCTCTCCGCTCCTCTCATGACCTCTTGTTCTCAAGCTCCCTTGTCTTCTCCTCCCATTCTTGTCTCCAGGACTTCGCCATAGTCTCTCTCATCCTCTGGAACTCTCTACTTCAATCTGTCCGGCTATCCCTACTCTGGCTGAAAATCTCAACTTTTCAGGGAATCTTATCACGCCTCTGAATAGACATTTATCACTTCCATCAGCTCATACCCAACAGTTATAACCTTTTGCACCACTTGCCCCACCCTATTAATGTAAGCTCTTTTGAGTAGGGCCCTCTTAATCCTCATTTTAATTGTATTGTCGCCTGTAATGTCTCCCTTTAAAATGTAAAGCACTGCGCAAATTGTTAGCGCTATATAAGTACTGTATAATAATAATAGTTGCTGTATTGTGTAGCTGGGTGCCTACCAGCTAGAGGACTCACTGGGCTGGGTATGTCTGCCCATTCCTCCTCCCTCCCTCTTGGCAGCAGCAGTGGCAAAACACAGGGGATGAGAATGAATGATGCAGCCCCTCATCCCCTCCCTCTTGAAAGACACAATGGTGCGTGGAACCCTGAGTTGTAATCTGTGGAAGAGCACTGTACCACAAAGAGGATGAGGCTGTGTCTACCCAGGATACCCTGCAGCAAGAGAAGGAGAGTCCAGAGTTTTTTTGGGCTCGGAACTGGAGGTCTGGGTCTTGAAGTTTGGGAAGTCGGAGGTGACCTAGCTGTATTGACTAACTAATGACAGGCCACCAATTTGACTGTGCTATCTGGCAGAGCTGTGCAAATCTCAAGACTGGATGGGCAGAAATTGAAAACATTTGGCATGTAAAACAACTTATATATCTAATTCAAATGTGTATTTAAGTGTTTACCTGGAGTTCAGCTTTAATGGCAAGAGCAGGGCAACTCTGGTGCTAGAGGTGGAACCTAACCCATACCGAGAGTATACCATTAAACATGTAATATACCATCACGTGCATCCCAACTTTCTGGGATGGAACAGAGGGACACTTTTTGACCTCATATATATGCGCAGTTTGGCCTGTACAGGATAGAGAACAATAATTTTTTGCCGCCTGGGAGACACAGTGCTGAAATACACAGTGGCTGTATGCTGTTCTGAGCAGTACTCACATATAAGGCCCTTTGCATACAGAGCCGAATGTCTGGACATTGAAAGGCCATGTTCAGGACATACATCTCAGTATGCAAGTACCATTTGGAACAGTCGCTGCATATTTCAGCCTGTCATTGATTTTGATATGCCACTGGTAGCAGACTGTAAGCTGCACCAGTGCTGTACAAGTGCATCAGGTCTTTAGCACAAAGTATGTAGAAAAGGACATGTTCTCAGTTATAAGCACCATAAGAGAGGAGTTCTTCAGGCATAAAAATGCATCCTAAAGCATGTACAGTGGGGAAAATAATTATTTGACCCCCTGCTGATTTTTTACGTTTCCTCACTTCCAAAGAAATGAAGGGTCTATAATTTTTTTTATCATAGGTGGATTTTAAATGATAGAGACAGAATATCAACCAAAAATCCAGAAAAAACACAAACAAATCTTTTAAATTGAGTTGCAGTTCAGTGAGTATCCCTACCAACCAACAATAGTTCTGGCTCCCACAGACTGTCTGTGTGCTCATGTGGTACACAGATTAGTCCTGTCAATTGGGAGAAGGTTCTCCTATCGACAACCTGTTATGTGTATAGATGCACCTGTCCACAGAATCTCTCTCTTGGGTACCACCATGGGCAAAGACCAAAGAGTTGGACATCAGGGACAAGACTGTAGACCTAGACAAGGCTAGAATGGACTACAAGACCATCAGCTTGGTGAGAAGGAGACAACTGTTGGAGCGATTCTTTGCAAATGGAAGGAATACAAAATAACCATCAATTGCCCTCGGTCTGGAGCTTCATGCAAGATTTTGCCTCAAGAGGTAAGGATGATCATGAGAAAAGTGAGGGATCAGCCCAGAACTACACAGGAGGAGTTTGTGAATGATCTCAAGGCAGTTGGGACCAGTCACCAAACAAACCATTGGTAATACAATATGCCGCCATGGATTGAAATCCTACAGCACCCTCAAGATCTCCTCAAGAAGGCACATATACAGGCCCATTTGAAGTTTGCAAATGATCATCTAAGCCAGAACACTGAAGATGGGTCGTGGGTGGTTCTTTCAGCATAACAATGACCTAAAACATACTGTCAAGGCAACAAAGGAGTGGCTCAAGAAGAAGCACATTAAGGTCATGCAGTGGCCTAGCCAGTCTCCAGACCTTAATGCTATAGAAAATTTATGTAGGGAGCTGAAACTTTGAATTCCCAAGCGACAGCCAAGGACACCTTAAGGATTTAGAGCAGATCTGTAAAGAAGAGTGGACCACAATCCCTTCTGAGATGTGTGCAAACCTGGTAACTGACTACAAGAAACATCTTACCTGTGTGCTTGCCAACAAAGGTTTCTCCACCAAGTACTAAGTCATGTTTTGCTTGTGGATCAAATACTTATTTTACTCACTGAAATGCAACTCAATTTATAAGATTTATATCATGTGTTTTTTTCTGGATTCTTGGTTGATATTCTGTCTCTATCATTTAAAATACACCTATGATAAAAATGATTGACCCTTCATTTCTTTTTAAGTGAGAAAACTTACAAAATCTGCAGGGGATCAAATAATTATTTTCCCCACTGTATATTGCACCTTTACAGACATTGAAGTCTGTAGGACCAAACAAGAGAATACCCTAAATAAAAAAGATTGTGCCCTTTTCTGATCATAGGGTGTAGAGCATAAGGCGACTGAGCAAACAAGTGTCATTCGGGACAATTGAAAAGAATGGGATTCTATATGTTCAGCGTAGTCAGGTGTAGTAACGTGTAGAAAAAAGCTCAAGTGTGAAGGGAGCTAAGCTTAAAGTAATGCTTTTAGTAGTTAAAGCGAAACTACACTGCATCTGAGCACCACAAACCAAAAAATGCTAATTCATTAAATTTTAATATTCAAAGCAAATTTCCCCATCCTTCCATGTCTCCATGCTTAATTTGCTGAGAAATTACTTTAACCACTTGCCTACAGGGCACTTATACCCCCTTCCTGCCCAGGCCAATTTCCAGCTTTCAGCGCTGTTGCACAATGGCAATTGTGCGGTCATGCAACACTGTACCCATATGAAATTTTTGATCATTTTTTTGTGACAGATAGAGCTTTATTTTGGTGGTATTTAATCACCTCTGGGTTTTTTATTTATTTTTTTCTTAAACAAACCAAAAACCACAGAAAATTTTGAAAAAAAAAAAAAAAAACATTTTTTCTTAGTTTTTGTTATAAAATTTTGTAAATAAGTGATTTTTCTCCTTCTCTGATGTGCGCTAATGAGGCTGCACTGATGGGCACTGATAGGCTGCACTGATGGACACTGATAGGTGGCACTGATGAGGAGGCACTGGTAGGTGGCACTGATGGGCATTGACAGGCATCACTGATGGGTACTGAAAGGCGGAACTCATATATGACACTGATAGGTGGCACTGATAGGCGGCACTGACTGGCACTGATAGGCAGGACTGACTGGCACTATTAGGTGACACTGACTGGCACTGATAGGCGGCACTGACTGGTACTGATAGGTGGCACTGACTGGCATTGATAGGTGGCACTAACTGGCACTGAAAGGCAGCTCAGATGGGCACTGATATGTGGCATTGATGTGGCACTGATGGGCACTGGCAGGTGGCATGGATAAGCACTGACAGCTGGCACTGATGGACACTGACAGGTGGCACTGCTGGGGCTACACAGATCATCAGGGCACACTGATCATCAGTGCTCTGATGATCTGTGTACATGTCCCCTCCAAGGAATGCCGATTACCGACTCTCCTCTCCTCTGTCAGCGTGACAGCTCGTGAGGAGAGAAATGCTGATAACCGGCATTTCCCTATTTACATGCGATCAGCTGTGATTGGACACAGCTGATCACATGACCGAGCCAACATCTTTGGCTCTTTCCGTGGATCGGTGATCCGCTGTGTCCGAGGGACACAGCACACCGCCAATCGCCGCGCGCTCCCAGAGCTGCACATGCGCAGTTAGAATGGGAGGACGTCATATGACGTCGTCCCAGAACGAGAGAACCGCCTTGTGTCCATCATTTTACTATATGGCGGGCAGGAGGCGGTTAAAAAGCTCCCCCCAGTATTTCTGGTCATGGCCATCTTGAGTAAGGGCAGATGATGTAACATGTATTTGCTGGAATTCCGCTGCCCGTAGCTCAGGCATACATGCAGGACAGTGCACTTAGCTTAGAAAACTCATCCTCCCTTCCTAAAGACTACTGGGATGTATGACATCATTTGCCTAGACCAGATACCTAGAAGTAACTAATATGATATACTTTGCTATCTATTTGTAAGCAAGTTGAAATGCTGGTTATTGAGAACGCTGCTGCCCCAGCCAGGAGGGAAACAGTTAACCTGGTTTCCCACACTTTCTGCTGAGCTCTGCCTCTCACCCTGTGCTGATAATAAAAGGGGGAGGGCTTTTTCCAGACACACAAACTCTAAATGGAAAAATACACAGACAAGACACAGCATGTAATCTACAGTTGTTTTTTTTCTGGTAGTTTCTCTTTGGCTTGGTTTCTAGGTACTCCCGGAATACATATTTTTGTTTGATTATATTTTTAGGTACCTTGAGGCTTCTTTTTGGAAGTTTTGCAATCTATAGTTGTTTACAGAGAAGAGAGAAATGGGAGCAGTTCCAGCTCGGAGAACAAGCCTGCCTGCTGTAACATCAACCATGTAAGGGGATTGCTGGGACCAGCATTCCACACTGAAGACACCAGTTCTGGAGACCTGCCACTATGGACTCTGCCATGAATGGACTCTCATCCTGTGCAGGTATGCTGGGGCAGCCACAAGTCTGAGTTAGGGATTAGATAGGAGAAAGACTATTGCTGTTATTATCTGGAATAACCAAGTTTTCCAGTAAAGCTTTTGAAACTTTGCCTTTGCCTGTTCTGATGGCACTAAAGGAGTGTATGTAAGTAACCGGCACACATAGTCTACAGAGTGGGTCACTAAAGCACAGTGGCGTATGAAGACAGCACTGCAGAAGTAACGTGGTGTGGAGTAAAGCAAGTGGTTGACAAACAAGCAGCCTGTCATGAAGTGTGTGCCTGTGACAGGTGGGGCAGCCTGTTGCAGAGAGGAAGTTGTTGCCGGAACTCTCTCCATGTGTGGTCCATCTCCCATATCAATGGGAGCAGATCAGTGCTGCAGAGGTTCTCAGACTGTGCGCAGGTATTGAAGTGAAAGAGCTAATGCGGAGTATGTATGGAGTCCACACTAGGTGCTCGGCAGAACTTCATTCAGCTACTGTGAGTGAATTAGCGGAAACACGCTAGACAGGTGGAGTGGGCATAGGCTCAGTGTGTGCCTCCTAAATGCAAAAGAGACAGTACAGTGTACATTGGCACGTGGCATCAAAGGGTTAACTGGAGGACAGTTTATGTTCAAGTGTACACGGTGCATGGCACAAGTAAAGGTACCTCATGCGTAAGGCAGTGACCCTTTTCCAGTGTTTCTCAACTCCAGTCCTCATGGACCCCCAACAGGTCATGTTTTCAGGATTTCCCTCAGATGAAACAGCTGTGGTAATTACTAAGGCAGTGAAATTGATCAAATCACCTGTGCAAAATAATGGAAATCCTGAAAACATGACCTGTTGGGGGTCCATGAGGACTGGAATTGAGAAAACACTGCCCTATTCCAAGGTGCCTAGCGCAGCCCAGAAGAACCCACTGGGGTAGGCCTTCCATGTGACCCACACTTGGTGCCCAATGAGGAGGGGACCATGGAGGGAGTACCAGTCATTTGCCCTACATTTTTTAGTAATGCTGAGGATTAAAAATAGTATTGATTGAGAGAGAGAAATTCCGCTTTAAATAGTACAAATTTCACAGGTCTTTACATCACTCCTAAAAAACTACAATGAAGACCGTACAGTAAAATATAACAGGTGGAAAATGTTGGATCTCCATGGGGTTTGCAGTCTTGCATTCATCAGTGTTATGGCCATTCTCACTTCCAGCCTGCTTACATCAATACAGCAATAATGGGGGACAGAACCTATTGATAAAAATACTACAAAAGACAGATTAAATGATGACATCAGTGCCATTTTTACTGACCTCAAAAGAGCACTCAGTTGTCTGAAAGGTCATACATTACCGCGCAGCACCTGATACGGCTTTGTGTTCCCAACACACCTCAATCAATAACCGCACAGTGCCTGCCATAAATAACTGTGTCTGGTAGGCATTAGGAAGCATGTCAGCTGATGCGTGGTACTTAATGTCACAATGGTGTCCTTCTCTAATGAGCCCATGGGGAAGTCATGCATAGCTCACCTAGTCTAATGTCCAATATCTTTGCATGTAATTTATGAGCGCTGGCGTTACAGGGAATTGTGGTAAAATTTTACACAGGAAGAAAATCATTTTTCATTTTTATGTTTTTCAGTGGTAGCGAAGGGACTCTGCTCCAGCTGAGTGCAAACCCTCAATACAATTGAACAGAGATTACAATGTGAATGCATGGCCCAGCGGGGAAGATTCTGACAAGTGGCTGTGCAGCCTGGAGGAAGACACACAGCCGAGATCACAGTAAATAGGGGCCAGGTGAGCAAAAGATTGGGAGCAGAGGCAAGCTAAAGTGGTCTCCCAGGCGATTATTTCACATCTGATAATTTGATTTTTGATATTCATTTCATTTTATTGAGGATTCCCCAAAAATCCCTTAAAGTGGAGCTCCACCCAAAAGGGGAAGCTCCACTTGTCTGTCTCTTCTTCCCTCTACTGCCATATTTGGCACTTTTTGGGGGGATCGGGTACCTGGCTTTGACAGGTACACGATCCCACTTCCAGCCCAGTTTGCAGAGATGAACTTAGCTGGAAGTTTGGGCCCCCTCCTTCCCCCCGCAGTCTTCTGGGACACTTCACAGGTCGGAGAAGACTGTGGGACCAGTCTCAAGGTGCAGCGCAATGCGCGCATGTGCAGTAGGAAACCTGTTGTGAGGCCGCAAGGCTCCACTTCCAGTTTTCCTTACTTGCAATGCTGGCACCGGAAACCAAGGGGCTAGTAATGAACTAGCCCTAGCTGGACCCCCGGACAGGTAAGTGCCTTTATATTAAAAGTCAGCAGGTACAGTATTTGTAGCTGCTTACTTTGAATTTTTTTGTGGGGAGCCTGGACCTCCTCCTTAAAGAATATGTAAGCCCAACATGTCATATTCCTGTGCGTGTTCCTGCCAGTCCTGCTGCTTTCCTATTACAAACTGACCACACTAGGCTTGAGAGCACAGCCTGGTGAACAAAAGCAAAACAGGGTGCATTCTCCTCGTGCATTACCGTGGTGAAACACAAATTTATTTAAAAGCATAAACGTGCATACTCACAAACCAAAGGAGGATAAAAGCAGAGAAGAAGAGTGTAAGGATGGTCCAAAGTGATGGTAGACCCTTGGTGAGGTAGGCTAATGCTTTTCGGGAGACGTACTCCCTTCTTCAGAGCACAGCCTGGTCAGTGCTCTAGCTGTGCTGAGAACTTAGCCTGTTTACCACCAATGATCAGACTTGTCCGGAGGAGAGGGTTTACAGATACTTCAAGGTCTGTTCACACCAGCAGCTGCTGGTGTGCTGTAAGATGACAGTGGTGGCAATGCACCATCCCATACTTTTTAATGCAAATTTTATTGAAATGTTCACAAAGCGATATTTCATTTAATTTTACTGGTCATAGCACAATCTGGTGCAGTAGTTTGCACTGGGATGCCACATGCTGTGCTGAAAAAAGTACCACACACCTTACTTTTTATTCACCAATGCAATGCAGCATGAAGTGGACTGATAGGAGACAAAGCATTTTTCTTTGTTCTGCATTGGCACTGCACTGGGCAGGGCTGCCCAGCTCAGCCCCACAGCACCTGGCATGAATGGACTCTTAAAGTACAATAAATGTAAACCCTAAGGCCTAGTTCACATGTGCGGGGGTGGGGCAGTAAAACCAGTTGGTTGAGCCAGAGTTTTACCACCCTCCCTGCCTGCCACAATGTGCAAATATTAGTTGGAACATCTTGCCGAGAGATTACTACATTGACAATGCTGATTGGAAGTCTTCAATAGGTTTTGGCTTTTTGGAGGAAACTTTGCAATGGGCTACCACTTACCACTGGCTCCAAAGTATGTCCTTGTTCAAAAAAGAAGGAAATGGCAAACTGGTTGGTCATGAGCAAATATCTGGAGGGTTATGCATTATGTGTATTACTTGTAGAGACACCCAATCAATGTTACATGTCTCGCCCGTAAAAGAGAGTTTGTGAGCACTAAAATTAATTTTAGTGTATTTTTTTCCCTGAAAATATAGATTTGATGAACCGTTTTGGAAATATAGTATAAGAAAGTTGCAAATACCATATTTTTGTGTCACAGGGTCTCTGCGTTCAGAAAATGTTTAAAGCGGAACCGCACTGCATCTAAGCATCACAGACAAAAAACTACTACTTAATGCATTTTTAATATTCAAAGCAAACTCACCCATCCATCAATCCATGTCTCCATGCTTTATTTTTTTGAGAAATCACTTTCAAACATACCCCTAGCATTTCTAATTGCGGCCATCTTGAGTAAAAGGGCAGATGATTCATGTAGCATTTACTCCCTGGAATTCATTTGCCCTTAGCTCAGGCATACAGACAGGAGGGTGTGCTTAGCTGAAAAAGCCCCTCCTCCCATCTTGAAGACTCCTGGGAAGTATGATATCATTTGCTTAGGCCTGGAAACCAGGAAGCAAGTAAAGAAATGTAAAAAAAAGTTTAAAAAAGTCAATATGATATACTTTCCTATCTATTTAGTAATCATAGCAGCAAAAGGAT